ATATTTTTCCTAACATTTGTCTATTTGTTCATAAGAAATACAGCAGCAGCTCTGTTTGCAGATGTGCTTAATTTATTTAGATTTCTTCACCTGTGATAGAGACTTACAGAAAGTTCTTATTTGGAATAATGAGCCGATGAAATAAGTCAGCATGGAATAAAGCTGTAAATAGTGCTCAACTCTCAGATAACATGTAAATGCAAAAGGAGAGTGTGATCAAGTTCTTATGAAGCTAAACAAATGCATTATTCAGTTATCTGTTATTTAATTCACCCTCCATTTTCCTCACCTCTTCCCAGAAACTGCTGGAGCCAGCAGTTAATTTTGATACGTATCTCTTCCAGACACAGGACCACCTGACTGCTGTCAGATAGAACTATCCTGTCTGGAACATTTAAAAGATTCCCATTAGGAACCAAGGAGGTGTCACCAAAAGCCAGCTAAGTTCACCCACTTTAGATGTGTTTTGCACTAAGAGAAAACACCATCAGTGAGAGAAAGGGCCCTGAGTGTTAGCTTAGGTGATGTGACCAATACTGGGAGAGATCAGTTTGACTCTTGGTGACTGAACGTGCTCCCTGGCTCCTGCAGTATCAGCTGGGACCATCTGCTGTCACCATAGCAGGAAACTGATGGGTCAGTTCCTAGGGCAAGGAAGAAAGGAGCAGGTCTTTTCCTGTATTACAGCTCTTTTCCAGCTGTTCTTCAACATGCATCAATGTGAGTCTGGAATGTACACAGGGAGAAAATGACCTCTGAAGTGCTCCACTTATCCTGAAAGTTGTTAAAACTCCCTACTGCTTTGACTGCATCTAAAATCAGTGTACCACTTGCATTATTAATGTTTCTTTTTCGTGCGCTTTCACAGTAGAAGTATCACCTTACATCAAGAACAACACTTTAGTTCTGTCAGTCTTGTTACAGTGCCATAGCCAATTTTCCAATGCATCAGAATATCATCACCAAAACTAATGACTTAATCTTACTTGCAATCTAACACTAAACCATGCCACGTTTCAGAAAACTCAGCCCTGCCTCAGTAATTTTTCCCTGTGCCACAAGCCCGGGGTGCATATCTGCAAGGCAGTAAAGATGCGTGCTTCTAACCACTCTATGCACCCTTCCCCTCCCATCCCTAATCAAAATAAGGGAAGAGAACCTTTACAGACCATCTCCTGGAAAATAAAGACACACTTCAATAAGTATGCCTGTGATGAATGAGGTCTTGGGGGACTCCCACATCCTATTAAAACTTCTGTGGTTTATAAGGAAAAAAACATATAAAGGGAAAATACATATATGGCACAAAATGATAGAAGCTATTCAGACAGGTTTCCATACATCTGAGTTAATACTACACATTAATGATTTTTAGTATTATTGCCCATTTCAAGTTGCAACACAATACTTACATTGTAATCACTTCCCTGTAAAATATGCTATGGGACAAACCACCACATTTGACCAAGATCAGCTGTGCTGTGTTTCAGAGAACAACATGTAATTACAAAGAAAGGCATCAAGGACTCTAAAATTGTCAGGCTGATTTTACAATGGGCACAGGCAGCTGGCCATGTCAACAATGTAGGCCTTATACACAAGGCAAGACAGATGGAACTGAGACACAAAAATGTCCTCCTCAAATCCTAATGGAAATTTTTCTGGATCAAGTTAACTCTCCCAGAAATTTGAATGTGACAGCAGAATCAAAGCCTGATTTTAGTCCTTCCTTTGGCTGTTTTAATGCAGGTAATTCCTAACAGTAGGACACAGAGGCATGTGTTGACACTCTGGACACAGCAGAAGGGCTGGAGAAGCTGGTTTCAAGGAAAAGAAGATAGGAGGTAATTGCATCAGCTTCAGCTGGACAAAATTTCCATCCAATACTGAAGGGGCTGCACTCAGAATTCAAGCCTTGTTACAAACACATACTACTCAGGTTTGGGTACTTCAGAAACACTCCACTCGACTCAGAATATCTAAAATTAGTAGGAATAAATACAGAATGACTATAAGGTTACTATATAGTGAAGTAATATAAAGCAGGCATGCTTAAGCAACAGTTTAGGAAGATTGGCTTTCTGCCCACTGTTTTACAGTGAAAAACACATAATTTGCTTCGTCGATAAAGTGAGCCAACAAAACTCCAAATTTTGAACTACTCAAACAAAACCATGGTGAAAAAAGCTGCAAGAAACATCTCACTGACTGACACAAAATGAAATTAACTCCATGTTGATGCAAAGAGAAGAATTGTCTATAAAAACAGCACATTCCAAGTAGTGCAGTCACTTGTGTCCCATGTAAATGTCCTACTGATAAATCTAGAGCCTCAAATGTTTCAACTTTTCTTACTGGCCTAGTAACATTTACCCAAAGCTTAGTGATTTTATTTTTTTATTTTTTTTTAATAGGTCAGTCAGCTGAGAAAGTCAAACAGCACAATCTTGATTTTCAAGAGTAACCAGAAACATCTTTAAGATAAGCTACAGAGAAAAATAATTTTCTATGTACCTAGAGACCTGTGCCTTGCCACTGGATTGTCCCTGCCAGTGGCACCAAGAGAAAGTGAGGATGCTTGTGTATGCCACAATTCAAAAATCACTATGAAAGGCTTTAAAAACATATGGAAATACTGGAGCAATTAAACTTTGTAATACCCGCTGTTAAAATGTTAAACAAGTACCTGCTGTTAAAATAAGTAAGAGATTGGCAGCAGGAATTTTGGGCTTAGTTGTCAGTCAGGAATCCACAACTTCATTAGGAGTAAACTTGAAAGAAAAATTAATCTTTTCACCTTCTCTGCTAATATAAATGCTCCCTTCCACATTTGATTATGTACAGCTACAAGTGGATTTTTTCTTTCCTAATTATCCTTGCAAAACACTTTTGCAGGATGCTTCCTTTAAACATTGTTTGATATTTGAATAGCGCTTTTCAATTTTTCTTCTTCTGTTCAGTCTATATTATTAGATTAGATGAGCATCTTTATGGAGTGTTCTCCAAAGCTGTTTCTTCATCTCTGGCTTTTATCAGCACTTTTAAGTACAATCTATAACAAAGTAAAGGGTAAGGGAGCTATTGATTAGAGCACTATAACCACTGATAGCATCTCCATAAAGAAGAGATGTTAACAAACTGACCAAATGTCAAAATTTACAGGAGGGGCTCTGCCATGCCAAAGCATCCCCATGCATGCAAGGGCTTGGGGGCACACAGTGTACACCTGCAGATCTACCAGTTATGTGTGCTGCTATGGAAATTAACATAAAATCCCAGACAGCAGCCTAAGAAAGCAGAAAGGGATAAAATCTAGGCAGAATGAATAAACTAAAATATCTGGAGTGTTTGCGCTATGTATCCACATCATTTTGCTCTTTTCTTCTTGGATCCCTCTTCAGGAAGCTGAATGTGCAATGCCATTATCCACCTGAAAATATTCTTCCCTAAAACCTGAAGCTCTATGGATATCCTGGGAGAAGCAGGAAGAAGGAAGCCCAGAAAGGACATGCTGCTTGATTTTACTCCTCAGAGCACATAAGGTTATGCAGCCCTTGGTGCACCGAAAGCGCTGCTCCTTTCACATCAGCTGGAAAGACTGCTGACCACTCAGCACTATAATCCAGGCAACAAGACACACTGAATTGACAAAAACCTGCTGGAAAATGTTACTTTACAGCTTTTGATTTACTGGGCTAAATCCAAATGCATGCAAACCTTTGTAGCATCATGCCCTAAACCCAGCAGCGCTACATCAGCCAGCCACTCCTTTTTATGAGACCAGCAGTATTTCCAGCTAATAAATGTGGAGTCCTGGTAGCAGATGAGGTTAGTGCTAGCACAGCAGAGAGCTCAGGGTGCAGAGGCTGTTTCTGTGTCAGGGGTGTGCTGACCTCCTCACTGGTGGAATTAGCTCGGCAGCGTTTGAACCTACCAAGAGGTGGCACTGGAAGGACACTTTATGGCAGGAGCCATAAGGCGAAGCTCTGCTCCACGGAATTGTGCTGAGGATCAGCCGGCACCCGCAGAACCTCAGGAGCAGCCCATCTTCCAACAGGTAGATGAAGGCAACCTTTCCACCTTCTTCTGCAATTGCATCACACTAAGCCTACTGGCACAGAACAATACACACACACACACACCCCCAAAAAGTATTATCGGGACTGTTTTCCTGTTCTTAAACGCTGCTGATAATGAACTGAAAAGAGTAAAGCCACTGCCAAAATGTTCACAAGTAGTTCTAAGCTGCTATCAACTTTATGACTCTGCAAATCTGTGACGATTGCAAAATCCACCAGGAAGAGCAGACTTGTTTTCAGAGACCTTAAATCTACCTCACACGGGGATCCACATCTCCCATGGAGAAATGCTGGCAATCTACAAATAACAGAAGAATAAAAAATTGCAAATCATGGCACTAGAAGAGGACCTGTAATATTACATATGGTATGACACTCATGCTTGTAGAGCGTATTTTCACACATATCTATGCACAAATCTATAAATACATTATGTAAATTCAATTTTAGACACTTGCCCAGTGAAACACTTTAATACTGCCCATAATAATATGGGTAATAGTCCTGATTTGATATACTGTATATTTGTATTCTGTGGGAAGTTTCAGAGTCAAGTTTTTCTTATCAGCAGGTAAAGAACAACTCTCATTTTACTCTCTATACTCCCTCGCTGTATTTCCTCAGATTCTCCACCAAAGGGAAAAAACAGCTTCTGGTTAGCCTAGTTTTGTTTGTTTTTACCCACTCTAACAAACCAATTTATCACAACATATTTAAGGCCCAGTGCTGAGTGGATTTATGCACACACTTGAGTTCATTGTTAGGTAACAACCTGCTGCAGTTAATGTACTCATAAGTAAATCTAGGTGTGTACATTTTCATGACTGGAGTCAAAAATTAGATTACTCAAGGCAAAAATTTGGCTAGGTACAACCTAATTCCTTAAAATATCTTCTGCATATAAAGCATTTGAATTTTATTTTAATAGTTTATTTCTGAATAAAGGTTTTTTGTGTGACTTGGATGCTGTGGCCCAGTCAGTCAGACCTAAAATGGAGGTAAAAAAGACTTATTTTAACTGATGTTTCACATAAGCTTGGTCATTCTGTTTCACTGGAAAAAGCTGTAACAGCATTTACAGATGTTTGCTGAATATTGTACAGCTTTGGAGCTTTTAAGTTCCTGCAGAGGTTTACAATTCATCACAGCCAAGAATTACTAGATATCTTATTTGTGAACACTACCATATCATAATTTCAATGGCACAGTTTTGAGCTGACATAAGTTCATTAAAATCTACATCTAAGTGGCTAAAGTGCACTTAATTCTGGTTTACTGTCACTGGGCAGCAACAGCTCTGTTGCTGGATTTATTAACTGGGGAAATTGAGGTTTGTTTGTTTGGCTTTTTCCTTCCAATAGACATCACAGTGAAAAGAAAAATTAAGACCCAGTGCAAAAAGATTAAATTCCTCATAAGTATTGGTATGTCAGGAAGCTGAAAAACTCATTTCTTTTGCGTTTATGAAAGCAAAAAAATATAACTGAGAAAAAAGTTGAACTCACAGATTTCTTCCAACAAAATGTTATCAGAGTTTGTCACATTTCAATTACCTGTGTAATCAAATCATAAATGAAAATCACACAGCATTCAAAATACCTCTAATGTTCCAAGTCAAAATATATTCTTTATAGAGAGAAGCAACTCACATCGTTATGCTTCAAATTGATTACCACAAACTGTACCTATAATTAGATGTAACTAATGCAATTTAAGGAAGAGAAAACTAATATTTGGAGCTAAATAGTGAAAGTAATCTTGTTGCCTTCCAGTCAGTTACCAATCAGAAAATGCACTGTCTCGCTAATTTATTATTATTAGAAACATCAGACTCTTAATCTATTCTAAGGACTTAGCTACATATTTAAGGTAGTATTTCCCAGCTGTATTTCAAAACAACCAGCTTGCTTGATTTTTGCTGAAATAAAAAGGACAGAACTCCTCCACTATCACTATAAATGGATGAACCAGAAGAGTTGGAGTAGGAGCCAGCTACAGTATAACTAACCAGTAGGAACTCATTTTAGCCATCTGCATAGAAACAAACAAAAAAAAGGGATTAAATTAAAAAAAGTATAACCTTTGTGGAGTGATGTGTTATAGAACCAAAGCAACATTTAGCATAATTTCACCTAACACATCTTAGAATCCCCAACTAATTGTTGTGCTACACAAACGACGGGACACACGAATGTGCAGGCAATATTCCATGACACTGTGTCCCTCCAAGTCTTTGGGATTCTTCTCTAGTATTCTCAGATAGTCTTTTACGCAATTAGGCCTTTACCCACCCAAAATTTTACTTCCTACAGCAGGCACTACAGGTCCCATTACCTTCTTGCTGATGTCATCTTATGTTTTTATCCACCCAAAAGGCTTCTATAGATACCAGTACCACATGGAGACTCATACTACAGCTTCATTCCCTCCAAATAACTGCAGGGTGAGCACATGCTTTATGGTCCCCCTGGCTGAAATATCAGGCACAGATATTTCCCAGTAACCACTCAAGTAGGAGGATGGGCAGAAGTTCCCCACCACTAGGACAACAGGAACAGCATCTACTAAGTGTGAAGGTTTTCTCCTCCCCTTAGCCACCTCCCAAACCCTGCAGAATCCTCTCCTTGCTCTCTCTCAGCCATGCCAGGAGTAATAGCTGAACAAGGAATTGCACTGTTCTCCTCTGAGCAGCAGCTGCTGTTGCTACTCCCTGCTGCCTCCCAAGGGCTTTTCTATCTGGTAACAAAACACAACACATAATCCAAGGCTACGAGGCAAATAGAGCTACCTTAAACTGCAGTTCTCTGGAGCAGCAGTACGTGAAATTTCAGCATAGCTTCAAGAAGTGAGTGTGCTTGCCCCAACACACAATTTAGATTCAATCACACAGAAGAGCCTTACTGATGCTTTGTACACATTAGCAACATGGTATTTATCTCACTTATTGCTGGATGATGGCATGTCCCTTCCCACACTCTAGGAATCATCATCCCTGTCTAGTTGCCCAGCGACAGAGAAAAGTAACATAAATATCATGTACCACTGGTTACCATGACAAAAGGAGCCTAAGAGGGAGGCAGAAGGACGTCGGTCCACTTCTTCAGATTTATCCTGGGAAACCTTAAAAAGGACCAGAACTTAGTCAGACTAGATCCAGAAGACTGGAAAAGCACAGTACTCTGTTATCAATGCACAGCAAGAGGGTTTTATCATGCTAGCACCATAAGAAGTCTGTTCTCTAGAGCTAAGCTTCTCCAGCTCAGGAACACTGGAAGCCTCCCCTACAATCTCCCAGATGACTCTCTGTGCTGTTACACTCATTGCTGGCTGGTAGGCCTGAGGTACTGTGGTTTCCAAGGTGATTTGTGGGCTGAAGGCCTTGCACATACAAGCAGGAATACCAGTCAATTAAACTTGCCTTATTGGTCTCAATTTCCAAGTCTTGAAATACAAGCCCACGATGCAACAGCACTTCATATTGAGCATGAGTCACACACCTGTAAGGAAATGGTCCAAGTTCACTTCAACAGAGGCCATTAAACAGCATCTTCCAGAACGTAACTCACCAGCATGACTAATTGAAACCCTTGACATCAAACTCGATGCCGAGTTTTGTCACTGCTTATAATAGCAACAACATTCTGAGTAGTATGTTCACAATCTTTATTTAATGATCAGTATGGCACGCAGAGCCCTCTTCCCACACAGTGAGAAGTGGAAGACGAAATCTTATTACAAAGAGGACTGCCATATGAACAGTATTGAGCTCTTGTAAAGACACAGATCTCACTTTAAAAAGCAGTTCTACATCAGCAAGAGAAAAAACAATGTTTTTCCACATTTTCCATACTCCACATTCTGTAAAATTTAACAGGGAAGATTACTACTGTGCTGATGTTTAATTTCTTCCTTTATGCAAAGTGCCCAAAAGAAGAATTGTTTTAAAGATGCAATCTGGATTTGGTAGCAGGACAAACAATTCAGTTATAAATCCTTCCTATTGCACCCTCATGGACTGATCCAACATCCAGGCTACAGGATTTTCTGGAGGTGCGTAGTGTTCCCTTTTTCACTCTGCAAGAGTAAACACCTGACAACCCAAGGAAAATAGCTGTGGTGGCAGCAGCAATTCTGCAACCTTTACTGTAATCTGAGCTTCAGCAATTTTTGTCAACTGACCCACAATTTCACATAGTGCCATCAGCAGCTCTGAGTAAACACCGCTGCCTGCTGCCCAAATCTAAAGTCTGCCAAGTCACAGAGTCACAGAAGCGAAGGAATTCTTCCTGAATTCAAGTGTAAGCCTGTGTCATGCAGAGTTTTAAGAGCAGAGAAGCTGACAAACAAGAGCATGTACATTTGTGTTCACATGTGCATGCATGCACGTGTTTGAGAACCGCAGATGTTGAGATGTACAGATTCACCCTCTGTGCCACACCTTCAGCGCTGGCCCTGGGCAAAGCACATATGAAAGTCACGCACGTGAAAATCTGTTAGGAAGCTCAAAAAGACATCTTTAGTCCTCTCCTGTTTAAAGGCATCTAAAGGTTGCACATTTAGTGTAAGTTCTTGTTTCTACAAATGTACTAAGAATGTTCAGAAGAGGAGAATACGAGGACGCCTTGTTGACTGAAACCGGCAGCACATAAGCACCAAGGTACAACATTAACCTTCTCAATACCTCAGGTCCACAGTTTCCCTGCCTCCTTGTGGCAGGAGGTCACACAGATCTAAGCATGTACTGAGGAAATCAACTCAGCATCCACCAACAGCTTTTCTGCTGGACTGGGTTCAATCCCATGGGCAGCAAGATAAGAAATACAAGAAGGTTCAACAACATAGGTTCAACCCCAAGCTGAAAATCCCATTCGTCTTCCACCAGAGAGGAAACCAAACAACACAAAAACACAAAGCAGCACTATGCATGTACATAAAATTTAAGAGATGACCACAGTAATATGATAAAAATTAGGCATCACACACTGATATGAGGAATGTAACCAGAACACTGTTCAATAAGAAAATATAATTTTCTTTTATATAAATAGGGTGAAGAGGAACAGCCATGGAAATGTCCTTTGGGAAAAAATAAAAATAAACTGGCACGGAAGAAGCTACTGAGGATTATTATTGCTCCAATACTTCATTTGGTTATCATTGAAGCTCTTAGGAACTGCAACTTGTCAAACTTTAACATAATTTGTCAATCTTTTGAGCAAATCAACCTTAACCTAACTGAAGGTCGCCACTCAAAAAAAACACCTCAAACCAGAGTTTGCAATTAGGGACTATATGCAAAGAAGAAAAGGCAGATGTGGAGAAAACAGCATGCTTTTATAGCTCCCATGTTGATACTCAACAGCTGATGTTGAGTTTTAGTGGACACACCATTGATTTGTTAACAGAAGCAGTCATAAAAGCCCTAATGAAGCCCCATGAGCACCCTGACCACACAAAATCTTGTATTCTTGTGTCAGCACCTTGGAAAAATCACATCTTTCCTCTATGATCTGCCTTTTAATTATTATTTTGCTGTGGGGGTTGGGTTCCTATGTTGTTTTCTTCTTCCTGTCACTACCCTTCACTTCCAGTATTCTGACATCTTGAACTGTCAAGAGTCAATGTGTAAAAGCTCTCAGACTTGATTGTCAAAATACTGAAACAATTTTCTTGTGTTTATCTTCTTTGCTCTCGGAGTGTTTGCAATAAGCCTGCTTCCAGATTCAATGTTTGTGTTTAAGAGGATGTAGTATTAGCTAGAAAGGTTCAGAGTGCACTCCTAGTGGTATTACAAACTATGAAGCAAGCACAAAAAAAGTCCAGAGCTTTCTACAGTCAATTTTTACCACATAACCTAGTGACAAACACTTTTTTTTTCTCTCACTCTCTCTCGGAGACAGTTCATTAAAAAAGCATCAAAAATTGCTTGCTTTTTTTGTGACGGATTTTATGCTCAGGAGAAGAGATGATGATGAGACCAGATAATGCTGGTAGCTGCTGTTAGGTCTCTGGGATGTTAGCCTGCCCAAGAATCCATCCCAATTCCCAGTTCAACTGGCAGGTTTATAAACTGGACAGTGGCAAACCTTGTTAAATGGAAGCAGTCTCAACACAGGACAGACTAGCCCACAGTCATGATGGCTGGGTAACATCCACATGCTGTATGATTTATGTTAATTGTAGCAAAGCCTCAGTGGTGTCAGGCCCTAAACCACAGCATGGGGCTGCAAAATGCACTTAAGATATTCCTGCCTCCTGAAGAAATCTAATAATTAAATCACTTCATGTTTATATGTTAGCGTGGAGGTAGAATAGTGTTTGCATTGACCTTCTCAGCTGGCTCATCAAATCCATCCTTCTGCCACTGTAAACATAGTGGCATTAAGTGATTTATCTCCATTTAGAAGTGGTTTAGCAAGCCTGTTGTCCCCTTTACACACACATACTCACTGGGAAGTTGTTTTAGAAGCTCATTCCCCTCCCTCTGCTATATCAAAATTTCTACCAGTTTCCAGTCTAAGCTAAATTTTTAGACATTTATGGGCTTTTGTCCCACTACAAAATGCTGTCATAGGACATGAATGTCCTATTCACACATGACAATTAACCACATGAGTGTTTAATTTCTTCCCCCAGCATTTAACACCTGCTATTTAATCTTTTTTTTTTTTTTTCTGTCTCCATATCATAATATTGTTGGTTAGAAAGTCACTTTTCCTAGTTCCCTAAAATGTGGAAGTTTTTTCTTTCCAGCCTCCTTGTCTTTGTTCTGAAATCCACCTTCCTTGATCAGGAGACCAGAATAGTGCAGGTGCACACACTTCCCACATCACCCCTTTCTCCTGTGGTTCTTCTGTAATCAATTACATCGTTTATTGAAGAACAAAATGGTACACTGTGGGAAATAGTCTTCAATCGTGGAACATGCCATGCAATAGTGATCACTAGGATCTTTCTCTCCACCAACTCTTCCCATACATAACTAGTATAAAGAACCTTGGGCTTAAAATTTTGGGACAAAAAGTGTCTTGGTTAAGGCTTTTGGATTAGAAGTGAGGGTAGGGCAGAGAGTGAATTCCTGAAAGAAAGCAAAAGAAGATTTGCATTTTTAAAAAGAAAAAAAGAAGCATCTTGAAAAATCTCCTTTGAAACCACTTGCTCATGGAATCTCGCAGTGAATCTTGTTGCAGAGCTGTCTCTGCACAAACAAGGCAGTGTACACATGAACACAGCAGTACAAATGTGCCTTTTCTTTGCATAGCAGGACTGAATTCAAGTAATGGGTAAGCACAGATAGGTTGGGTTTGAACCAGGAAAATAAATCAGAGCATAGATATAATCTAAGTTATAATTCCATAATTTGTGATCACTTTATTAGAAAACTATTGTTATCAGCAGTCAACTTCTTTGGAACCTAGGCCCCCAGCACAGGATACAAATGTTAGCTGCTTCAACCCATACCAGAGAAACCCCACATAAGAAGGTTTGACTGCCTTTTTTTTTTGCTTTTTTTTTTTTTCATCTATCAAAATTAAAGTGGATGTGTGAAATGCTCTTTTTTCTCCATACGAGTACTTTAACTCTAGAATGCAGGAACCCTTAAGGTACTCCTCATTTATCCACTGACACCACAGCAAAATTTTGAACCGGTGTCTCACAGAGACTAGAAACTGAATACTATTTACAATGTAGAGGCACAGGTTCACAAGCCCTACACTTTGTCTTTAAAGCAAGCCCCCCATTTATCCAGAACTGTGGAGTGAGCAGTTTCACACATCTATCAGCCAGAGTACAGGCTGCAGTGAAGTGCTGCATTTTCTGAGATAGGAACATTTCGATGAACAGTGTATGTGTGACCAGAGGGAGCACCTGTGTGTCCAAACAGGATGTACAGCACTCCGACTCACATCTCATCCAACTCACATCTCATCCAACTCACATCTCATCCAACTCACATCTCATCCATAAGGGGAATCACAGAGCATTAAGGAAGCTCAACAAGTCACTGCTCCCACCTCCCACGTGGCAAACAGTTCAAGTGCTTAATACACTTGCTAACGTTTTATTGCATAGGTGAACACAATGAAGAGTTTTTGCCTATTTGAAAACTCTCCCTTG